ATCCTCAAAACTCACATCCAACCTCATGGAATTCCCCAGTGACACAATACTTTCCACAACTGGCATAGGCTCCTCAGGGTCAGCCTCAAACCCTTCAAAGTCCCTCCCTTGTACACATTCTAGCCACAATTTTCTCCAAGCAGAGTTCAAAGTCCTGCAAGTCACTCCCTCTCAAGCCTTACCTATAAGGTTTATGCAATGGAGCATATTGAAGTGATCTTTCCAGAACTCTCTTAGGGTCAGTTCAGTGTCTGAGGTCACTTCAAAGCACTTTTGAAACGCTGCTTTATTGTACAGATTTTTAAAGTGTGAAATGACCTCCTGGTCTATGAGCTGGAGGAGAGGAGTTGTATTAGGGGCAAGAACTTCACTGTGATAAAACAAAACTCTTCCACCATTTGCTCTTCCAAGTCTGCAGGATGAGCAGGAGCATTGTCTATTACCAGGAGGCACTTGAGTTCCAATTTATTTTCCAGGAGGTATTTCTTCACTCTGGGGCCAAACACTTCATTAAATCAATCAAGGAAAATTTCCCTTGTGACTCATGCCTTACTGTTTGCCTTCCACATCACACACAATTTACTCTTGGTGACACTGTTTTTCTTGAACACTCTGGGATTTTCAGAGTGATACACCAGTAAAGGCTTCACTTTGCAATCCCCACTAGCATTACTACAAAACATGAGAGTTAGCCTGTCTTTCATAGGCTTGTGTCCTTTGCTGGCCTTAAAATCACAAACCAGCCTTTGCTGGCCTTAAAATCACAAACCAGCCTTTGCTGGCCTTAAAATCACAAGCCAGCCTTTGCTGGCCTTAAAATCACAAACATCACCACTCGTTGCAGGCATTTTCTTTACGAGGTCGTCCTGCAGCTGCCTTGCCTTTTCACATATTATCGACTGCCTGTACTATCTCCTGCTAACTGTTTTTGGGTAATCCACAATCCACACCAACAATAACCTCTCCACTTCTTCGAGGGTTTGCAATCTCTTTTTTGTCAGCATGTCTACCCTTCTCGCAACAACAGCACACTTTATTTCCTTTCTCTAACCACGATCAAAGTGATGGTTGAATGGGGTTTGCCATACATCCTGGCAAGCTCTGTAACACGCACTCCACTCTCATATTTTTCAATGATTTCTTTCTTGAATTTGATCGTGTTTCTTACTTTCTTTACCAGAGGGCTGGCACTAGCTTTCTTTGGGCCCATGGTGACTTATTAAGCAGTTGCAAGCACAAAAAACAATGGGTTATTATGAAATGTATTTTATGAACCCTTGGGGTGATGGTCACTCACTGGTAAACAATGGCACACTGAGCATGAATTGTGCAGGAGACTGGCTTTGTGTGCGTGCTGACGGCAGACGCGTACCGGACGATTGCCGAATCACGGACTGTGAGGCAATATTTTGGTGAAAAAAGATTGCCGAAAGTCGAATTTCATGAAAGTTATGGCTGCCAAATGGCGGGGGTTCACTGTATATCAAATCAGTTTTCTTCACTGAAACTAATTGAAATGCCATTAATCCATTCCAACCCCCAAAAAAAACACCCCAGGGGCAGGAGAAAATACTTCAGTATTTTTTCTATGGCTTATATATCTATCAGAATTGATCTAATATGACATAAGAAACACTATAAGTTACATAGAAACATTATATATATTCTAGAATGAATAAAATAGGCCATAATATGGCCTTGAATTTGAGTGTCCAGGACCAGTTTGAGTATATAAAATTATTACTGCTCCTTCTTATAATGTGTTCTTTGGTCCTGGGTAAGAGAAAACAGAGTTTTTAAGTGGCTAACTGCACTAGATCACTAGTACAGTGATATATGAATATCTCGGAAGGCAATTATTGACTTATTTCATGAAGCTCACCATTTATTTTTGAAATGCAATAATATTGACAGGAATCATAAAAACTGATTGTTCTACAATTGGCTTGTGGAATATTGGAAATATTCCAAATATTTTGGGATTTGTGTGGGAGTAAAGGGAAAGATATTTTGCTAATGTCAGAAACTTGGCAACTTTATTTTTTTTGTAGAATAACTGAAGATAATTACACGATTACCTCCAGTGAGAACATCGCACTAGCATTGCTTTATAAGTGCCAAGTCCCAAAACCTCCTTTTGTTGTGCCACTTAGGCCGGGGTTCTTGCCAGATATCATTTTCAGTAAATATTTATTTTTTTCGTTCATAACTTGGATTTTTGCTTGCAACTCAAAGCAAAAATCGACCAAGCGACGGCTTGTAACTTGGAAAACTCATAAGTTGGGGCACTCATAAGTCAAGGTACCACTGTATACAGAATCAAACCTCTTCTAGAGACTGAAGTTACACCGGAAGACAGTGCAAAACTTAAGTAAAAGTTAACAATACACAAGATATATATTGTACTTCATTTAAGCAAACATTCTATTCAAACAGGAGAGATGCATTGAAAGACTAGGTCCTCAGACTGCTTCACAGCAGCTATGTCCAACAGTGTAGTTAAAATAATGAGTCATACAGATTCCAAACTGACTTGTGTAAGAAGGTATTTGCACGTGAGGCTGTGTTAGCGGAGACAGCCATAGGTCACATCCTTCCTGTACAGCTGCAGATGAATAGCAGATGGTCACTGAGTGAGTGTGGAGGTGGAACTGCATCTGGCAGTTTGTCAAATTATAATCATGTCTACTGCTTATTATGGAAGGCAATGTCAAGTACCTCCACCCTGGCTCTCTTAATGTCACATGTACTGTTTGATGTACTTATTGTACAATATTATGAAAATGGTAAATGGAAAAAGTAACATGAGTTATTACAAGAGAAGGCCTAGACGTTATCTCAGCTATAAACAATGAAAGATCACCATAACAGTCTAAGCAGTAAATGTTAATAAGCACTAAACAAACAGACAAACACACAATAATGTGGAGATGTTAGGTTCACATAATAATGTCTGTTTGCATAAAAAAAATATTGATTTATGAATGTTACAATAAATCATGTTAGAGCTTATTAAACTATTTGAAAAGGCTTATCAAATGTTGCAGAGTTTTGAGTGTAGCAAGAATGTTTGACCTGGGAACACTGTAGTGGTCACCTAGTGTACTAGTAGTAAAACAAGGAAGGTAGTGTGTAATGCTTCAGCTCCAACACAAATTAAGGTGTGATCAGTTTTGTTTGTGTATTTAAGGTGCATTATAGTGCGTGAGTGTTTTTTTTATACCCTTAATACTCCCAAGAAGTTGGAATCTAGTATGCAGTAGGCATACAGCATGCATGAATTTCAATCTCTGAAAGGTATTACCCATGCATAAACCAGCTCCCTACTTCTTTGCTTAAACTCTCGACCTATACTTGAGTATATACAGTAGCAATGTTTTATTTAGGTCAGTTCCTTTGTTTAATATAAAATTGTTTTACATATTTTGTTGCCTTTGTTGTGTTATATAGTCGACTCAGTTCATCATGTTCTTTTACAGTGTAGCTCCACCAGTGTTGTATGTTGCTTTGATGTCACCTAGACTTTGCATTTGCAAATAAATGGACAGTGTGATTTCTCTCATATTTGGAATAATATGTGGACTGGTGTGTCCAAATTGCAGAAAAGTTAGAGATACTTTATCTCTTTATTTAAAACTCCAAATTTGTGTGTTTACAATTTACAATTTGGGAATTTTTATTCATGTTTGTGGCAAGTATAGGCATTTGCATCAGCCTGAATTGTTATTACACATATTTATGCTTAGTAGGTTTCTGAAGACCCAGTGCAGTATTATAGTTATTAAACTAATTTTTCTCATTAATTTCAGCATCAATACAGTTTGGGAAATATTTATGTTTCTTTAAGTGTAAATGTGAGCTTAGGTCTATCATGCATTATAAATTCCAAAGTCAACAACTGATGAAGCATAATTTTATTGATTCACTGTCAAATTAAACAATTTTCTTAATTAAACTTTTTAATTTTGCTCTAAGAAAATTCAGAATTTTGGGCATCATTTTGATTTTTTTTTGTTTTCTGAATCTGTGATAATTTCAAATACTGTTTGATAATTCCAAATAAGAGAGATGTTACGCATTGTGATGTTAAGTGAAGGTGCATGGAGAAGACTGACAAGAGTTGTAAATGATGATGCATGTAGAAAATTGGCAAAGGTTGTAAATGATGGTGGATGGGGGTGATTGGCAGGGAAAGATTGGCATGGGTACATCTTGGTACAATATTTAAGCTTTCTAGTGTACGAGGAGTATAGACAGTATTTATGCTGAATAATCTAGTGAAGAGCACAGTAGAATGATTCACTTTAATACATGAGAAGTATTGTCAATATAGCTGTTATTATGCATATAGTTAAGTTGATAAATGTGAATTCCTCAGGACATGAATTATGGAACCTAGAAATGCTGAATAAGAGGAAAACTTAGACTCTTGTAATTAGCAAAAACAGCAGTATGACTTTTGATCATGTGTAATAAGCTATTGCTTTAATACTTTAAGATCACCATTATATTTTGTGTTTGCTCGTGCTAAAGCTCTTTACTTTCACTTCTAGGTTTAACAAATAATGCTCTGCGAGTATTACTTACTTGTCCTGACCAGCTGAATGCTGTGCCAACACACTATCATACAGTTCATATCACCTATTAAAATTCTATTCTTTTCATCACAGCTCATTCATCTGCATTGCTCTGATAATTTTACAAGTTTGTATTATACAAGTAATAATATTTTCTAATCACTTGGCAGTAATACCTGTGCAGAATGAAACACATCCATCTTTTGTCATAATAATTTAGCTTCAACAATAATGCTTTAATCTACTTTGTGTATCTCAGATTCCATTTTTATGTCACATTGCTAATTCAGTATTTGTTCACATTGACACAGTAACTCGTCTCACAATTTTCTCTTTAATTTCACTATTTCCTCTTGTTATGAGTTTTCATTACTCAACTTCTTTTCTCCATTTTCTGTTCTGACCATCAATTTTCCCTGACAGTGGAGGAGGGCGGGGCTTCTACCCAAGCCTCGCCCACGCCCACGCCCACAACAGCTCTTGATGAACCGCCCAAATTTGGACGCTTCTTGAACGTGCCGGGGAGCGGTGGTGGTGTTGGTTGTGGTGGTGGTGTTGGTGGTGGTGGTGGTGGTGGAAGTACTGAGGGTAACAACCCAACCACTTTTCTGAAAATTATCTGGGAGACATTTGTGATGAGACCAGCAATTTTGACCTTTGATTAAATGTTTTTTATAAAGTTGGTTTTATTGCACTGAAGAAAGTCAATTACATTCGAAATTTTATTTTGGGCTCAAAATTTCTGTTTGTCTTATTTCTTGGCCTATTACATATTCCCATTCTTTGCTTAAAAAATTGGTGTACTCAAATAACTTTTTGCTGCACTTTGTATAATGGTTTTTAAATTGGGAAATTGGTTTAGTGTTTTGTACCTGATCCATAGCAATTGAAAGTCGTCTTGAAAATTGTCACCCTAGTAATTATTCTTCCATCAAAATTTCTGTAGTTGCCTGTACTTTATGCATGGACGACTCTGCTACGCTCAAGCTTTTTAATATAATTTGCACAATTCTTTAGGTCAAGGAATATATTACTGCACCATATCTCCCCAATAATTTTATGAAAAGTACATAATGATGATGTGCTTCTCATTTTAACCTTGTGGCAGAAACTTGCTCTAGCTTCCTGTTTTCTGTGCAACAGAAAATGGGAATATGCACAAACTAATATCTGAAGGGCTTGTTCTTAACTGCTTCTAGTTTTTTTGTCACTTGGAATGCTACATTATTTTGAATACATTACATCTTTGTTAACATTTTTTATTAATCTCAAGGGTAGTGTGACTAGCTCGTAAAATGTGTTTTTTTTTTTTCGTTTGGGTGAAGATTAATTGGTGTGTATTTAATAGCCCATAACCTATTTAAGTTTGTGGGGAAAGGGGGTGTATGTGTGTGTGTGTGTGTGTGTGTGTGTGTGTGTGTGTGTGTGTGTGTGTGTGTGTGTGTGTGTGTGTGTGTGTGTGTGTGTCTGTGTCTGTGTGTGTACATGTGTGTATGTAATAACCTATTTGCATTTACATATGGGTGAGCTCTAGCTCTTGTTCCCACTACTTAGCTTTGGATTGACTGGTGTGTATTAGCTATATGCGGATGTGTGCATGTATGTTTGCAGTTAACTATTTGTAGTTACAGAAGTAGAGCTGTGCTCATGGTCTCCCAATTTTAATTTATCATAAATACATATTTATAAAGTTTGTGATGACATACAGTAGCACATTACCTGCTCTAGGAGGCCATCCCAGCTTGCTACTAACCTTCACTGATTATTTTCTATTTTTTTCATCACATTGTTTTAAATTTTAAAGTTGTGTCCTCTTATTTTCCCAATTATTGGTTCCAAAAATCTTCACCATTGCCTTGTACCCTTTTATGAACTTATATTTTATGATATTAACTTTTACTTTTTTCTTCCATTGAAGGCACTTTCACTACAGACACCTTCATCACTTTTATATGTGAAATTGCTCTTGCCCTGCCATCCACACGATGGATATGGGTTCACAATAAGCTAGCTACTCTGGCAATATAATGTAATATTTTAGTTTGTTGTTTTGCAATTTGGAGTAATGAATTTGGTTTTGACTTACTCTTACTATTTGTTTGAAAATTCTCTTTTAATTTCCTTGTATTGGTATATTTAATTCTGGCAGACTGTACCTTATTAGCTTCTGTACTAGTTCCAGGTGTTGTCTTTTTTTTTTATGGCTTTTCAGCAGGTGCTGTTGAATCCGTCCTTATTGCTTTTTCTTTATTTTTTGTTATTAGCTCTTTGATTCCAGTTTTATATACTTGATGTTTTAGAACTATTTGTCTATACATATAGTATATTGCATTTATATCTATCCATTGTTGTATGGTATCCTATTTAGTTTGACTGTACAATTGTCCCAAACTAGTCAACTATCCTTTTATTGTTCTAGATCAGTATGCATTCTTGTATTGTCTTAGATCAGTGCACTTTCTTACTGTCCTGCCTGTAGTCTACCTGTATACAGCTCCAGGGGTAACTGCCCCCATACCCCATTTCTTGACCTGGGCTCCCAGTTAATGATCAGATCAATTGGTCTATCATAGACATCACAAACATGCTGTGACTTGAGGAATTTATCAATTTTCCTTTTGGAAACTGCTAGGGGGCTATTGTATGAACAGAGGGTGTTGAACAGTCTTGGTCTATTCACGCTTTTTTTAATTATCTCTTAGTGTACTATATATTGCACCTCTGCTTTTCACTGGGAGTATTTTGCACTATCTGAAGTGATTTGTGTTTGTAGATGTGGGACCAATCCCTCCAGAATTTTCCAGGAGTAAGTTATGATGTATCTTTCTAGCTTACATTCTAAGGAGCACAGTTCAAGGGACTTTAGGCATTCCCAGTAATTTAGGTGTTTGACTGTATTCATATGAGCAGTGAAGGTTCTCTGTACAATATCAGAATCTGCAATATCACGTCCATTTAAAAGTGTGGTTAGTGTCCAGCAATATTCCAGTCTCGGGAGAACAATGGACTTAAAGACTACTGTATCAACGTTGGCTGAACATCTCTTGTTGTGAAGTTCTAGATATCCAACTTCTCATTTTCCTTTCAGTTATGATAGTAATCTCTGTTCTGGTTTTTATTTCCTTAATTTTTTTCATAGGCGAGTAACTGAAATTTGTGCTCATCAAACATCAAACTATTTTTCATGGCCCACCAGAAGACTTGGTTGATATCAGCTGGAAGATTTGGTGTGTTCTAGATGGCTCCCACTCTTATAAAAATTATATTTTCATCTGCTGTTATTTATTTCTTTCTGTATTGAATATTAGAATGAGAAAGATAATTGGGGTGAGTGCTGTGCCTTAATTAACAGAACTTTTCACTGCTGATTTTACCTCACTCACTTTTATTCTCTGGGTTCATTTTGTTAGAAAGTTAAATATCCATCTGCCGACTTTTCCAGTTACTCCTTTTACCATCATGATCATACATGTCAAAGGCCTTTGGAAAGTCTATGTATGCTACATCTACATTTTGTTTATCTTGGAGTGTATCCAAAACTGTGATAAAATGCTTAAGCAATCATGAGACACAAAAGTGATCTACTCTATATCCATGTTACCCTGGACTGTACAATTGTTGTGTATCCATGTGTTTAGTAGTCTTACTTCCTAAAACTCTGTCACAGCTTTTTATAATGTGGGATGTCAGTGCTATGGGTCTATAGTTTTTGTGACTGCTGTATGCCACCTTTGCTAAGTGGTGCTATATCATTGTTTTTAAATGATTAGACTGACTCCTGTGTTCAGACTCCATCTCCACACAATATTCAAGGCACATGATATTATTACATTCAGGGGATGGGGAACACTTAACTGCAGAAGTCATATAGTGCCTGGGCAAAATGAGAGGCTATCAGGTTTGAATCAAGAAAGGGAAGATCAGGTCCAATTCCTTACATCAAGAGCCTCTCACCAGGATCTAGGAGCCTCCCCAGAGGGAAAGGTGTGTGATAGTTTTCATTTTCCCCAGCTTTTGATGAGTCTAGATTTTTACAAGTCTGGCCTGGAGCAGAGTGCATGGGACCACTATACCATCCTTTTATTGTCCTAGATCACTATACCTTTTTTATTGTCCTAGATCACTATACCTTTTTTATTGTCCTAGATCACTACACAATCCTCTTGTCTCATCTAGTTAGTTATGTATGTGTTTTTCTTCTTTGTTCTTCAAGTATGCATATTTGTTTGTATATACATTTATCAGCTGTCTTTGTGAGGGTTGAGTTTCAGCTCTGGGTCCCACCTCTCAACGTTTGATCCATTGGTATCTTGGTCAAAGCTCATGACCGTTTATTGATGATATACAATACTAATGAGTTGATAAATAAGACACTTGTGCAACATTTGGGAGCTTTATTGGCAAAATGTTTTGGCAGCTCCTTTGTTATGAACTGCATAGGATAATGTACTTGTACTAGCAGCCTCTCTCACCACTAGCAGGCCTCTCTCACTACTAGCAGGCCTCTCTCACTACTAGCAGGCCTCTCTCACTACTAGCAGGCCTCTCTCACTACTAGCAGGCCTCTCTCACTACTAGCAGGCCTCTCTCACTACAGCAGGCCTCTCTCACTACTAGCAGGCCTCTCTCACTACTAGCAGGCCTCTCTCACTACTAGCAGGCCTCTCTCACCACTAGCAGGCCTCTCTCACACTAGCAGGTCTCTCTCACTACTAGCAGGCCTCTCTCACTATAGCAGCCTCTCATACTAGCAGGCCTCTCTCACTACTAGCAGGCCTCTCTCACTACTAGCAGGCCTCTCTCACTACTAGCAGGCCTCTCTCACTACTAGCAGGCCTCTCTCACCACTAGCAGGCCTCTCTCACTACTAGCAGGTCTCTCTCACTACTAGCAGGCCTCTCTCACTACTAGCAGGCCTCTCTCACTACTAGCAGGCCTCTCTCACTACTAGCAGGCCCCTCTCACTACTAGCAAGCCTCTCTCACTACTAGCAAGCCTCACTCACTACTAGCAGGCCTCTTTCACTGCTAGCAAGCCTCTCTCACTACTAGCAAGCCTCTCTCACCACTAGCAGGCCTCTCTCACTACTAGCAGGCCTCTCTCACTACTAGCAGGCCTCTCTCACTACTAGCAGGCCTCTCTCACTACTAGCAGGCCTCTCTCACTACTAGCAGGCCTCTTTCACTACTAGCAAGCCTCTCTCACTACTAGCAAGCCTCTCTCACTACTAGCAGGCCTCTCTCACTACTAGCAGGCCTCTCTCACTACTAGCAGGCCTCTCTCACTACTAGCAGGCCTCTCTCACTACTAGCAGGCCTCTCTCACTACTAGCAGGCCTCTTTCACTACTAGCAAGCCTCTCTCACTACTAGCAAGCCTCTCTCACTACTAGCAGGCCTCTTTCACTACTAGCAAGCCTCTCTCACTACTAGCAAGCCTCTCTCACCACTAGCAGGCCTCTCTCACTACTAGCAGGCCTCTCTCACTACTAGCAGGCCTCTCTCACTACTAGCAGGCCTCTCTCACTACTAGCAGGCTTCTCTCACCACTAGCAGGCCTTTCTCACCACTAGCAGGCCTCTCTCACTAC